GCGTGAAACCCTGTGCACGCAGGAGGAGTAAGTCGTGCGCAGTATAACCACACCCAGCGGCCACAGAGAGACGAACGTAACTCTGCAGCCCACGCCCCAGCTCTGAGGGGTCTTCACAAGAGACTACTGACCCCTCCCTTCCCGCCGGGAGTGAGGGACCAGAATTTACCAGTTGAACAGGTCCTCCACGTTCACGCCGAGGGATGAGGTGGAATGGCAGGAGATGGTTCCTTAAATGTTCAAGGGTTTGCATTTGTGTTTCTTCCCCGCAATGATCCCGTCTATGATAGTTTTCTCGTCCTCCTGTTCTAATAAAGACTTTCTGCATATGAACCTGACGCCCCGCCACTGTTCTCATGGGTCCCTAGTCATGGGCGTCGGAGAAGTCCAGGAAGGCCTCGGGGATCTCGGAGGAAATCCAGCCCTGCGAGACCGCAGCCTGGGGTCGCTCCGCCTCAGTGACTGGAGGGTCAGTTCTCAAAGCGGGAGGAAGCTGGGCTTTGGGACGCAACTGGCTCTCAGATTTCCTGTTCTCCCGGGAAGCGAGCGTCTCCCTTCCTCTGCTGCCACACGCTCCCCTTGATTCCTCCTGGCCCCTCTTGTGTGCTGTCCCCAGCCTCGCAGCCTTAGCAGTGAAAAGCAGAGAGCATCGTGCGTGTGCACGCGTGAGTGTGTGTGCTTCGCGTGTGCGGGTCATGCGTCAAGAGCCCATGAGGTGCCGTGGCTGTGTGCGTCTGTGTTGGTGCAGGAGGGCTGTGCGTGCCAGAGTGCACGGGTGCGCTATGCATGTGTCCGTCTGTTTTTATGAGGCTTGTGAGTGTGTGCTGCACATGTGTGTACACATAGGCTTGTGTGATGTGCATACATGTGTGGCATGCGTGCAGGTGTATGTCATGTTTCGGACTCGGTTAGGAGGGTTGTGTGTGTGTGTGTGTCCTTCACATGAAGGTGCAGATGTATTTGTGTGTGCCTGTGCAGATGTGTGGGTCTTCTGTGTGTGTGCATGTGTGTTACACGTGCATGCGTGGGTGGGTGTGCCTGGGTATGTGCATTGGTGTTGGTGTAGGAGGGTTGCGAAGGTGTGTGTCCGAGTATGTACCGCACACCTGTGTGTGTTTGTGTGTACGTGTATGGACGTGTGCACTTGGGGTTCCAATCCGGGAAGCCCTGCCGTCCTCCTCCAGGGACATGCTAGGTTCGCGGCCCTCTGCTCTGGATGTGAAGTGTGAGTCACCGTCCTCGTTGAAAGGCCCCAGGGAGAGGGAGCCAATGCCTGTTTCCTACTGAAATCAGCGCAGCCCCTGTGGAGACCGGCTGGGCTTGCAGGGAGCCGTCTCTGCCGGTCCAAGCCAGGACTCCCTCCTGGCCGGGGCCCTGTCCTCCTTGTCCTGGAATCAGGCCTGCTTCCCTTTCCGAGCTGGAGGGAAAGGGCCGCGGGGTGCTGAGGTTTCACTCCGGGAAGCAGCTGAGTGGGCGTGGACAGGGGCACAGGCCTGCACGTCTGGGCGGGCGCTGCTGCCTGTAGCTCAGCCCGGGTCTCGGGCGGGAGGGGAACGGCGCTGTCAGCCTGAAAGCTTCCCAGGCCGTGAACATCCACGCAGACTCAGCAGGACCTGGGCGCTCACGTCGGGGCGGCTCCATGCAGGCTGAAGGCGTCCCGGCACAGCCCCCCTCCGCCTCCCCGTGTTCTCTCAGCCCCAGCCTCAGTGATTCCTGACCCTAGCCAGCACCTGTGCTCATCAGCTTCCGCCCCTGCCGCAAACCCCCGAGACACTGACTGGCAGAGCGTTTTCGCTGGAAGCCTGTCCCATCAGCTCCTGCGCTATCAGGCCTGGCCTGGGTGTTGGTCAGCTTTCCCTCACTGGGGCCAAACACCTGACAAAACCCACCTACAGGAGCAGGGCTTTGTTTTTGCGGATGGCGGCAGAGGGTTCAGTCCATGGAGGCAGCTCCAAGGCAGAGAGGCGGTAGGGGATGGGCATGGCCAGGGAAGGCGCCAGACCCAGGGTGCGTAGGTTGGGGCCCAGGCACGTGCCCTAAGTTCACCCCCCAGGCTCTGTCCCTTCATGTGGCCCACACCCCCATTTCCACCCCTCCCAACCAGCGCTACCCCAAGCCCAGCAGCAGTCACACTTTCCGGGACCTGTGAGCCTTCAGGGAAAAAACACAACGGTCTGTCCGCATAAACTAGCAACTCTGAAATATGAAAGTAGCGGGGCTGGGGATTTAGCTCAGCGGCAAAGCGCCTGCCTGTCAAGCGCAAGGTCATGAGTTCGATTCTGGTACCGGAAGAAAAACAAACAAAAAAGAAATATGAAAGTAGGTTGTTTGTTTCTTTCTTTGTTTTTTGTCTTTTTGAGACAGGGTCTCACTATGCAGTTCAGGCTGGCCTTGAGCTCCCAGGCTGGTCTCAAACTCGCAATGATCCTCTTGCCTCAGCCTCGTGAGAGCTGGGATTATAGGTGTGTGCCGTGATGCTTGGCTATTCATCTATAAGTGACGAACTTTGCTCATAATTTCAGTAACATGCTAGTGGAAGGACCCATCAGAGGCTTTCTTTATAAAGCCATCTTGCTTCATCTTGGGCCTGAAACGCTATTGTGCAGTGGAAGGTATTATTAAGAGATACAGGACTCTGACAAGACCTGGTTTCACTGTGTGTCAGCTCCCTGAGCTCCCTCCCCGGAGGCGGCGTCCTGGAAGTGCTGGGTTATGCAACTGCGGGAGAAAAAAAAATGTGTGTATACAGCCAGGCATGGCGGCGCATGCCTGTAATTCCAGCACTTGGGAGGCTGAGGCAAGAGGATTGTTGCGAGTTTGAGACCAGTTTGGGCTACAAAGTGACCTCAAGGCCGGCCTGAACTGCACAGTGAGACC